CGTGCACCAGAAATCTATTATCACTATGGGCGACACTTTGGGTATGTGCCACAGCACCCCCTCTGGTGGTTGTGTGGAAAAACATGCACACCGACAGCCCCTGTTCCACCATAAGCCAAAATCACCCATTGGTCTAGTATGGACTTGCATGGGAAACAGTCATGGTTTGACAACATCCTGCTTCAAGTCCTTATTTGGTGAACGCAAAAGAATATTCTGTCATGTTCTGCTGTTTCTTTTTCAGCCACTAGGGGCATGCTTGGAGCTGCCCACTTCTGCTACCTGACTGCACGCTCTCCTTTCGGTGTTTATACCTCCAAGACAGACAAGCTCGTCCTTCTGGGCAGCAATCATAGGTATGCTTTGACACATTTTAACCCAACCTGTGAACGCTTAAGATTCGTCAGCAGAAATCCAGAGTCCAAAGCTACTTTGTGTTGAGAAGAGATGTGCCTGTTTATAGTGATCAGATGTTCCAGATTGAGCTTAATTCACAAATTTGAATCCCCTGCCCTTTCTTCAAAAGTCATTTGGATCTTATAAAACATGATGAAATGTCATTAAAACGATAACTAAACCATGTTCATACACTGGATTCTATATACATGCTGCTTGAACGATGGAAGAATGAAATAAGTCATTGGAATGTTCCCTGATGTAGACATATTTATATTATAGCTTGCCTTTCTTGAAATTCGCCCGGAATACTGCTATCCAGTGTACGGAGGTGTTTGAGTACTCCCAAAGACTGGGAAACCCCGCTTTCTTCATTCCTTCATTCCAGGTGAGAGAATATTTTCTTGCCATGTCGCGGATGAGAGGTTCCAGGTACGGTGTTCTGGCGCGTCCGTGTTCATCGGGTTTAAGTTGTGTTGTTTGTGTTTAAAGGTGTATAAGTTCCTGTATGCCTGTCGCCTGCTGGACTGCGGGTTGGCCTCCCAGGCCTTCCACTACTGCGAAGTGATCGGGAAGGCGTTGTTGGGACAGGAAGTGCCCTGCGCTGTACTGCTGGGAGAGGTCATTAAGGTATGAGCGTCATGTGTCTGACTGACAAATACGCACACGCATACACACATGCATGCGCATATATGCAGACATGTACACACATGTGCGCTGACACACTCACACACACATGCCTGCATCCATACACACTCATAAACAGATGCATGCCTATACATATATATATATATATATATCTATATATATATATACAGTATATATACACATATCCATAAACATATACATATACAAACTCAAAGCCTGTATGTGCTTGTATATATACGGATACTCTCATGTACACATAAAGTTGTGTTTGTGAACCCATGGGACATGATCAGCAGTATTCACCACAAACATTCGCACCAAAGTGTGCATACATGTGCATAAACGCTCACATACGCCACGTGTCCGTGTGTGTGGTGTGTGACAGCAACCCCTCCTTGCGTTCTGCATATTCAGCAGTGTTCCCTCCATCCCCCCCCCTCCCCCCCCCCACAGCTGGCGGAGCGTCTAAAGCACGCGGAGCCCCAGCTGAGCGACGCGGGCGCGGACAGGCCCACCCGGGACCCTGACTGGCTATCACAGCTGCGTTCACGACAGCGGGGCGCTCAGGTGAAGATCGATGTTGGGGTCTGGGGGTTTCAGCCAAGGCGATCAATCACCCACAAACTCACAGTTTCAACAGACACTTTTTAAAACATTTCAACTCCAATTAAAAATAACTGCCGGGGGTTTATTTCTGATATTTCAATTCCTGTTGTGAATAACCAAACCCATAAATAAAGAATCTATTTATAAGCTATCTCCGTATGGCTTACAGCTCAATTTACGAATTTATTTCCCGCTATACATCCAGTAGACTAGAGCACCTGTTTCAATTGGGTTTAGTGGATAGACATTTACATTAGTGATGAGAGATTTAAGTGTCATGACCTGCCATAAACTGTCACTGACATGCTAACCAATCATTGTGTTTTTCTGTGGAGAGGACAGTCTTTTGATTGGTTCAATCAAGTCAATGAGTATCCATTAATTTTATATTCATTGAGTATTGAGGTCATGAATCTCAAATCTTCCATCTCTAGCCTACATCCCTCTAACTTTTATTCGGTTATTTTCTGGCTGGCACAAAACATCATGTACCTCATGAAATTTGTACTTTTACAAATTCTAGTCACTGTAAGATAAAAGTAATCTGACACAGATTTTCAGAACATGCTAATTAATTAATAAAATGTATGTTTCTTTAGATGGATAGCTATGGTTATTGTGACACACACCTGGCAGCTGTTGAAGAAAAAACATACACAAGTGAGGAGAATGGAGTGTACACAGGTAACCCCCAAGTCACAGATCTTTAATTCAATTTTAACTGCAAGAGTTTCCTTCCTATACATAAGATAGCATAAGTTGTGTATGTTTGAAGGTATTAGATTCAGGTTTGGAAATGGAACTTCAGTATGTGATGTTAAAAAATGTCCCTTTTTCTGTGGATACCCTATAGATCCCCACACAGATGATCTGGAGTACTCTGTAGATGGAGTAATAGATAGGGTCCAGCAAGCAGACACTCTGTACCCACAGTTTGAAGGTGCCACAGAACAGCATGTGCCACATGTCTGGCCACAGCAGCCTGTTTGGGAAGCTCAAAGCCAACCTGTAGCGCCCCCGGTGGTCGGAGGTCAGCACTGTAACCTGCAGTTTGCGAACAGCACCTATCCCCAGCCTTCATATCCGAATATGGCACTCCCTGATCAGATCTCGACTGGTCAAGGTAAGGAAATTTCAAAAAAAAAAAAAAAAAAAACCTCAGGTTTTACAAATACAATGTTTTTTCCAGCGTCCTCTGATAACTGTATCCAGATCCATTTGTTGCTTCCATGGTCCAATTCCTATATTTCATGTATGTGTTGTTATGTTTTTATATATAAACTGATTGCATAAAAAATTCCTTTGTGACAATAATGTTGAAAGGTGAAAGTAACAGAGACTCTGGTATTGTTTTGGGCTGTATCCACCATTTTTGCTTTGGAGTTTCAATGCCACAAAACCAGTGTTGCCACTGACCCCCTGGGAGAGACATATGTGCATATATGTTATACATTGACAGCTTATCATTTGCTAACATGCAAAATGATTAATAGGTCTGGTATGTTTTCTATGAAAATAACTAAAGCAACAAAGCTAACTATTTAAGTAATTACCTCTGAAAAAAGCAATCATTCGATCAAGATTTTGACCAACACCTTTTCTCAAGGAATGGTTTCAAAGGTGACCCATCCCACAGTCATTTTTCTTAAAGGCCTAGTTTCTAGAACTTTCTGTTTCTCACTTCTAAACACTGAGTCATTTTTACCTCCGAAAGAATTCATAGTTGTTGCTCTAGGTGAATCTCAAGAGGAAAAAAATACTTTTGTAGAAAGATACCATCACTATTCTGGGAAGGACAGATGCAAAAGCTACATTTTTTTATATATCATGTTAAATTTGTGTTTCATCATGTTAAGTTTTCATTTTGATTTTAAAAGTTATTGTGAAGGAACAGAACACATGCACATTATTTTCTTATTCATTACATATAGGCAGTTGCACAGTGTGTAGTGACACTATTGTTCATAATGAAATCATTTCATCATTCTCAGTTCACACAGGGGAGGAGATTCAGTCTGTGTCTGCAGAGGTATGTGACAAAAACTTTAAATCTCTGTGGCCACTCGTTTCTTGTCATTGTCATCAATAATTTATATGGTTAGTCACATATGGATTAATATGACAGTGACAAAATTGCATTGTACAGAACTAGTTTGAGTCTGATACGTGTAAGTAGTGTCCTTTGTGCTGGAACATTGCTAGTTGAAATGAGGCAACGACTACCCTGCTATCTCTCTTAATCCACACAAATCCCTGTTCCTCTATGGAGAAGGATGCACAAATGAGTGGGGCGTGGCCAAATGCAGGTGAACAGGGAGGAGCCAGCCAGATGACTGACACCCAGGAGAGGAAGGCTAGGGAGCAGGACGCCGCCCAGCCGGAGAAGGTGCCTCATCTTCTCTGTTAGATCGACATCCTTACCAATGTCCTGAAAACCATGGCTTGGACCCAATGAAACACAGTTAGGCAGGGATTTAACTAAACAAGCAGACCAAACAAGGGCCATTAACAGCCCATCCCATTAAAAACTAAATTCAGTTTTGATGGAATTGAACAAGCCCTTAAACAGACAAAGCTCATTTGATTGGATGCTGGGCCTTATCTCTGAATTTGTTAAAGAATGGACACTGTATTCCATTTCTTTCTCTGTTTTCCAGAGCACTAACTCAGGATGGTTTAGTCGCTGGTTCAAATCAAAGCCTAACGACGTCCAGAAGGAAAGCAAAGAGGACAGCAATACCACCCCTGCGTTAACAGTAAACTGAATTCAGTGGGGAAAACCCACCAGGGAATACAGCACACATGATATGGACTATAGCGCTGTAAAAGCTTTCGCTTGCCGCTTTCCATTCAGCTAATTTTTATTTAAACAAGAAAACAATTAATCACTCAGCTTTGCACTTTTTTGCCACCAAAATGAATAAATGTCAGTACAGTATAATTTTGTCAATGTTGCATTTTATCACACGAATGAGCATAGGATAACGATTAAAACTGTACAACGATCCATTCTATCCCTCTCGCTAATTAAATACCAGATCCATATTCCAATCATCTTAATGAGCTTTTCATGTTAACTCAAGGGGGTAGCCGAATTAAAAACTTCTGGTCAAGAGCCAAATAAAGACTCTGCCTTGGTTTAATCTTTCAAATGCCTGATTATTAATCACAAAAAAGACTTGTTTTCAGTTGAAAATTATTTCCAATACAGTCTTGGATATAATGTGGCTTGTTTTTACATTACAGTAATTTAGCTGATACTTTTATCAGAGGGACTTACAGTTGATTGGACCAGCCAAGCGATGTGGGGTTGGGGGCCTTCGTCAAGGGCCCAACAGCAATGTTCTTGCTGTGGCTAGATTGGGGCTTGAACCATCAACCTCAGGTGTCCCAATCATGTATCTTAACCACTAGACTACAGGCCACCTCCAGGAACAGTGCTTTAGAAACAGTGGGACTTAGCTGTGTGTGTTTAGTTCAGCTGTGTCTTTACTCAGAGTCGAGGAGCTCGTCTCATATTTGGGCTTACTCTTTCAGGAGCCCTCGCTTCCTCCTCCTTCTTCTGTTCCCCCAACCTTTGGGGTCACCTCCGGCATGTGTTCCGGTCCTCCCACATCCGTAGGGATTAACCCATTCTCTAAGAGGGCTGGTGAGTATGCACCTGTGGTGCCTTGAACATTAACAGCTGAACGATGATATATCTATTCCCAAAAATCTATATATAAGCGTTTATAGTCTTTTATTTAATGTTTTTATGAAATTATTTTAGTTCAGTGTTTGGACACGGAGACAGATATAGTTTAGCACGCATTTCGTACAGTTTTGAACTGTGTAATTTTAGTTGATATTCCATTTTACGTTTTTCATGTTCCTGTTGCTGTTTGCTGCAATCACTTTTACTTGGCATTATAGCCATCCAGATGGGCGTTCTGAATTTGCCTTCATTTGCATTTTAGTTGCATTATCAGTTCAGTTGCCTTTTCGTAATTTGACTAGTTGAATAAATTTGGCAGTGTGCGTCTCCAAATTTTACTGGCAACCCGTCGTAAGCACGCTGCTCATTGCCACTGGGCATCTGAGGCAAAGTTCAATATCAGTTCTCAGAAGTTGCATAAAATGACACTAATAAAATTATAGCGACTGACATTCAATACAAGCGTTAATATTGACACATATAATCTGGAATCTCTTGAATTGTACCGCTAAATCTCATCTCTTTCTAAACCATACTACATGCAGTCCAGGAAAGATGACTGTGGCAATGATCCAATCAAACCAACTTTATTTTAGGGCGTACGCAAATCAATTAAAGCTCCCTCTTTTAAAGGGTATGTGTTTTTCAATTTCAGAATGAAAAGACCACATTTTAATTGGCATGTTTGTATTTTAATGTTAAGTGTGTTTGATTAAATTGCATATGTCCTTAAAATGGCTAAGTGCATTCGACTTGATCCCAGCCTGTGTTTTTTACTGGTTGTAATGCAGTGATATGTGTTCTACAGGGAGACAGCCATCTTCAGTTCAGGGTCAAGTTTTGTCTCCTGGGTCAACCACCATGGCTCTCTCTTAGGTAAGAGACTCGGACATCAGTAAACAGAATAAAAACGCTTCACAATAACTTTGACGGCTGAATATTTTCTCCTTTTTCATTTACAGCACCATTGTTGCTGTGTTTTTCGTGAGAGTGTCGAGCAATGCTGGGCAACAGCGGGGAACAAAGATTTCGACTTGGAGCCCGGGGGGCAGCCTAGGGGGCCCTGTCGCTAGGCTAGTGTCCCTCGTTTCTTTTTCTGGATGACCCTCTCAGTATTCCCTCATCAGCGCTGAGTAGTTACAAAAATACTCAGGACACAGCAGGCTGGTCACTGGGTCTTACAGTCTCCTTGCCCATCACTTTTGATTCGTTGAAGAAACTGAACAGCTGATTCCTGCCCTGGGGAACATAGCATAGGAAATCGTGCTAATATATGGGGTACAGCTGTGGAAATGGCATGACACGCCATGACAAAAACCACCACATATATGTTTATATTCTGTGTGATATGCACCTTAAACGAAAGCCAAAGATAAGCCAATTACTGCTAAGTAATGTATCCGTGTACAGTATTTCAAACACCCCAGTAAAATCGGTTTATGAGTGTGTGTGTTAATGATTTGTTGTGAGATGACAAGCAGTAGCCTGGGGACAAGTGTTTCTGTCATCGCTGTTGGTTCTGTTTGGACATTACACAGAAATATTAAGAATATAGGCTCAACCGCCTTGTGTAAGCATTATTCTTGATGGACGAAGGCTGTGTCACCACAATTACACTGGGGTAGAGTGAGTGAGGTTTGAGATACGATTTTCCAGACCTGCAGCAATATATAATATGTACCAACAAGGTCCTGTTACATTATGCTGATGCATTAAGTTGAGTCCAAAAATAAGCCTCCAGCAACACTGCAAGCTGGAGGGACACAAGTGGCCGAGCCAGTAATGAAATATATGTCAGTAAACAGCTTCTATAGTGTTTTAATTGTATTTTAAGAATTAATTCAAATTATATGAAATGTATGTTGTCAATGACACAGTTTTCTTTGTATGTATGTCATGTAAAATTAATTCTGCACATACAGGATGACACTTAAAAATAACCTTAACAGTATTTAATATTTATTCAATGAATGCTGTTGATGAACATGGTTTCATGTATAAAAATGAACTATCATAAGGTATAGTTCTCAAGAGGTTTTTGTATTGGTGGTTGCTAAGGAAATTATTTACACTTAATGAAATATGTGTGACATTTATCACTATGATCAAAACATACTGTATGTCCAAGAAAATGTTTTTATTTCACTTGACATTACTAATTTTGTAATATACCTTTTCTATATAAATGGAAACTTTGAATAATAAAAGTATATTCTAGATCATTTTTCGATCATTTTTCCTTTATTTTTCACAAAAAACTGTAATGATTATGAATATGGACATTACATTACATTTTTGTTTATCAGATGCTCCTATCCACAGCAACTGAAAATGCAAAGTGCATTAGTCAGGGGTGATAATGCTATATGTCCTTGAGAGAAGTCCAATAACCAAAGTCCCAATTACCAGAAGGGATTACATATGTAATTTTTCAATACAACTTTTCATAATTGAGTCTTTAAAATACACTTCATTGGCTGGGTCCCAACCAAAAGGACATGTGCTGTTCTATTGTAGACTGAAAGTACACATTTCCATGGCGTGTTTGCTTGTCTCCAATGAAACAGACATTACTCTAAAAAGTTATGTTGTACTGTAAAGTCTTTTTAATTTAAATGCATTTGTCTTTCTGGACCAGCAAAACAGTTTTGCACATATTAAATGCTTCAGTAAATCACACCCTTTGCATATTTGTTTGGGTCCCAGCAATTGTCTTGGAAGCTTCTGTGATACCCAGCTAAAATATTCAATCTGTGCAGTTAGAGGTAGTTTCTGATTAGAACTATTTCGTAGAACTTATTCTGTGGTCATAGCATCTCCCTTGCTGGTCTCAGCAGACATTCCCTTACCTCAGTGTATGGAACCGCTGTTCATTTGATTGTCTGTGTTCTTCCTTGCATCCACTGCACAAAAACTCACCAGCTCAACATGTAGGCAGAACCTTATTTGTCAAGGATTGGATATTGATGTATATGGTGGTCAAAGTCCATCTATGGCATATTTGTTTGTGCTGAATTGATTGAGCCAATTTATTCTTTCCCAGCAGATGTTTCTTCATTACCGGTTGCCAACATGTACCATGGTTAGTTGAACCTATATGGACTACAAATAAAGATACTCAACTGGACACAGCAGATCAAATATGTAACAATCTGCATATGTTGGTCAGAGTTGAGTACACTGTTTTGTCCAGAGTTTAGTCAGATTTTGACAGATGAGCTGAGCATTACGACAGAGCAAATTAAGAACCAGCTCTAATGATTTTCGTTGACTTACTGCCGGTGACCAGTGTTGGAACTTTTGTTGGCTGAGTGGGTGTAAACAATAACACTTCATTTTTGGCCATGGGTAGAAGCACAACAGCATGAGAGCATCGGGGAAATCCTTCCATTACTGGGCTAGCTTGTGGAGTTTGAATGGAACAAGTGATGGCTTTCTGTCTTTCAATGACCGTGTATGTTGATCGGTGTTCATCTGAACAGGACCAGGATGTCAAAGTGAATTTACCACTAAGCAGCTCTATTGGGAATAAAGGAAAAATTGTGGAAAAAATATTGTAAAAATTTTGAAATTTTCATGTCTATTTGCAAAAGATTGTAATATTTGAGTCCCAGTCATGGCATTACCAATGACAGGAGTTCAGCATTGATAACGTAACTATGGGCTCATCCTCACACCGAGTAATGTTTAGTTTTTCTTGACAAAGCACAGTTGGTGTTAGATTGAGCTGAAACAGGGCTGTGTTTGTAACCCATTATAGGAGCAATTTGAATTGAATTTCTTTAATTCTAAAGTGTACCTGCATTAATCAAGGTCTTGAATTTAGTATCTTCATTAAGTTAATTATTCGCAGGAAGGGTTTAAATTTAATTTAGTTATTGCGCATGACGCAAGCCACCCAATCAGAAACGTCCCTACGGCGATGCAACAGCAGTTGTAAAATGAAAATCGTGGTGACGATCTTACGAACTAAAACTGTCGGTATTCTTCAGTCTGCCCTCTCATCCTTTATTTGCGAATTGAAGAGCAGCTCACGGATCATATTTGGTGAGTTAATTGCTAAAACAGCGAGAAATTAGACAGACAGCGTATATGCTAAGATGCTAGCGATAACGCAATATTCTAGAGAACTGCTAGCTCAGTTGACTAGCCAAAATGGTAACGCCGTAATTATTCCAAAGCTCTATTTTACATATTGGTTAATATTTTCATTTGAGATACTATTGTGAAGATATACTAGCAACTATTGGTTATTTGATAGAAAAATATAATTTGTAGTTCATGCTTTTCACTCACACCTAGCAAACAAATGATAACAAACCTGCTAGCTTGCTACTTGATTGATAGATACCTTGATTAGCGTATATGCTAACTTGCTACCACATTCGTCGATAATTACATAATTTACGTTATTTTTATAAAGTCGTGTATGTATGGTAATAAAATGTTACTTTGTTAGCCCACTAGACAATCTATAATTTGTTTACAATTGGGGAACTTGGGAAGAATTTGAAATGAAAGTTAATGCCAATTTGTTAATGTTGCGTATCTGTAATTGAGATTTACAGTGGAATTGCGTGCGCCATTTTAGGGCAAATCATGTACAAATATTCAACGCCACAAGGCCGATTAGAACAATAATAAATGCAGTACTGTTCGGTTTGAGTGGGTTTTATTCAGTGCTCTTCCTGGAAATGTGTATCGGCTGTGAAACAAGTTTATTATTGGAAAT